ACGGTGTCAGGAGTGAAGATTCACCGTTGCCCAGCAGGATTTTACTGCCCCAAAACTATACGACGCGCCTTGGCGGATGATGGCGATTACCAGCTACCGCGCGTATGCCCACGTGGTACTTGGAGTGGTGTTGGAGCAGTGAGTTGCACGAATTGCACTTCAGGTTATTTCACTTGGGATGAGGCATCTATCCAGTGCGAACAATGTGAACCTGGCCACATGTGCCCGAGGACAGACGCGGATCCAGAACCATGCCCTCAAGGAAGCTACACTGATGCTCCAGCTCAAACCTGCTGTAAGTTATGCGACAAAGGTAGCTATACATCTGGTGCAGGCTCAACTCAATGCATACGTTGCCGTCCTGGAACCTATTGCAGCGAGAATCCAGTCAAGCTCTCGTGTGCGAAGAATATAGGTATGTAAATGACGTCGTAGAGAAAAAATAATTAACTGATATGTAGTATTCCAAATCTCGAAAACTGGTAAATAAGTATTGAAACTTTCTAGTTCGTTTCTTTGAAGAAGGTGATACAAAGTATACCATGGTTCAGCCCAAAACTGGTTTCAGTGCTTCTATATACCATATGTCAACAAATAGAAAAGGCGATATCTATTTCGCACGTAGTCGTCTACAAAATAAGTTTTTAAAACTTTAAACTAGTATTTTGTGGAGTTCACTGCAAATAGTGAGTATAAGTTTGTATCAAAAATTTTCCATCCCCTCTCCTTAAAGATCCTTCCTGACAGATACTCCTCTCTTAAATGACTTTCAGTGTCCAAGAAGAAGCGTTGAAAAACCAAAATTCTCTAGGAATCTTGTCTTCTGGCACTTCACATTTTCCTACTTTGTGTCTGTGATGTTTTGTTGTTTCTTTTTACATCTGTGATCGAAATCATATTATCTTACATTTTCTCTTGCTTTTGGGTGAAACAGTTGATTATATCGGTTTAATAATAAAAAGGAAACCTGTTCGAAAAATTGATCTCATTTTAAGATTGTGTATTTTTTTAATTGTGTCCATTGTCGTTATCTTCAATAGATCCCAAAAGGAACAGTGAAAGCTTTAATGGTAGCTTTCGATCTCTATGTTCAATAAAGAAAAGATCAACGTGCAAGTGTGTAACCGTTGCTAGAGCATTTGGAACCTTCCGAGTACCGCGACGTCTAATGCTCGTAGTCATACGCACCGATACCCTAGTTGATATAATGCACAGCGACATGATTGATACACATTAATATAGTATGAGTAAGGTGACACTACAAGAAGTGCTGTGAGAAAACATGATTGAGCTAATATGACTAAATATTCCGTAAATCGATTAGAATCGCATTTTCAACTTCGAAGAGACTTTCGAATGTATGATCCGTGCTTCGAACCTGAACAATAGAGATATGAGTGAACATCGAAACAGAAATCAAACAGCTGACAGATAACAAAGAAGAGATTGAGAATAAAAATGATCGAGAGCAGGATAAAAATTATGGGAAAAGAAAGAAGAGTGTCAAGACTGCTGAGATATTTCGAAAATATTCAAAGTAAGCTAAGCGCGTGACACAAATTTGGTTCAAGTATTTCGATTTTTCAAAGAATATTGCTCAACATCAAAAACGTTCACTGCGTACATGAAAGTGCTTAAATGTAAGTTTCACACTTTGACTCTCTCATTTAATGTGCTAGAAATGCTTTTTTTCTCATCATTTTACAACGAATTATGTAAAGCACTGTCTAAAAGTAATATTGAAATATGTAGAGTACAAATTTACACTACTCCCCTCAGAGTTCTTGACAGAGAAACACTCTTCTCATCATATGCCATGAGAAAATTTTCGAAGCATGATTTACACCCGTATATCATCAGGATTTCATATGCATATGGTAACTGCTTCCTAGTTGTCATTCTGTAGAATTGAGTAAAGAATGGCGAGTTGATGAGTTCTAAGGCATATCCAGCTAGATAATGCTTATGATTCCAGTAACAACACCTAGACCGTGGTTCATATTTTAATTCAAAACGGATTACTTTGACAGATGTTTTTGAAAGATTTTCATCAGTTAAACATGCTTTTAATGACCGCTTCTCATTTGATTCCAACTGGGAAGCACCACGGATTACTTCTTCAATGGTTTCAGAATTCAAATGACATCGATTATTTGGAAATGTAGTTGTCTCGCATCTCCTATGCCACATCAAAAGATTCACAGTTTATAAGCTTTCTAAACTATTTTTTTCAACCATAGATGAAAGCACTACGACAACCGTTAACAGCATAACCACAGCACCCACCACTCGAAGAACGGTAATCACAAGTAAGTGTTTGACTTTTTTGTTCATATGTACTGAATAAATGACACTTATATGTTGAACAAAAAATAGAAGTCCAAAGCCTCCTATTTAAAATACTTTCTAAATTCCAGAGATTTAATTATTTACATTATTATGTGTCAGTGATTGTCAATATAGGCAAAATATTAAACGAGCGAGATTCATTATGTAGAATTTTGCAAACTTCTCCTTCCATAGAATAAAAAGACATGAACTTTTTTGCGAAAATTTACATCGTCACTTCCAAGTTGGTCTTCTAATACAGGCTACTTTTATTGCTAGAATTTTTCTGCAGAGCTCACGATTTTGAACAACTTTTCTAGCATTCCAATCGGCATTTTTATCATCCGAGTATTGAAAGAGTAGCTTTTTGAATAGGAAAAAAAGGAGTTTCAACAATGAAGCTTTGAGTTTTTCATTCGAAGGTCCAGTTTTTAAGTGCTGAAATCTCCAAAATACTGAGTTTGAAAAAAAAACTTTTGGAAAATAGATAAGCTACTGTCATACCTTGCGAAACTTTTCTTGAGTGATCTTCCAAGAACGTGCGAGTGCGTGTAGTTGATTGTGAGTTTGTAATGAGAAGATCTATATATACATCCGGGTCCATCCAATACTGCGTGTAGAGTTTTTTTTCTCTCTTGGGGTAATTGTAAGATTTTAGAAGCTAACTCAAACGAGTACCCATAGCATGGTTCAGCTTATCATGAAAAAATATCAGTAAATTTTTATCGGCTACTTTTAGAGGTAGGGAGAAGCAGTGAACTTCAAGGCTCTATATGACCTACAAGAATTTCCTGAGGTTTTAGAAGACTTTCTCAGACATCTTGACTTGAAGAAAGTTCTAAATTGAAGTTTTTACTATTTTTCTCTCAGCAAGGTTGTATTCATTACTTTTTAGGAACAATGGAAGTTATTAAATGAAAATTCTATAGTTACTTCGAAATAGCACCTATATGCATACAAGAATAGTTGTGGTTAAGAATGAAAATAGAGTCTCTCAAAATTTGATAATTTCTATAAAAGTTTACGAGATTTTAGAAGAACTGAGCGATTTGGAGATATTTGATGAACTTTCATGAGTCTAAATGATACTTGAAAGAGATTGCATATGGTATTGAAGAACCCTGCAAACCTCATACAGTAGAAATAAACAAATCTAACGTCGAATCGAAGTTAACTACAGTCTTGAGATTTATATTCCCGGCACTTGGACGGAATTTGGAGTAGCATTTTCTGAATAGCAGAATGAAGATGAATTCGACTTCCATGTAGCTCTGAATATGGCTGCTGCTCTCCCAAATTGGCTAGTAAAAATTATACAAGTACTTCTTTTAGATAATCCGTAGAAAGTTACAGGCATCACAGTCAGGTAGTCGATGGAAAGTAATGAAGACTACCTTGAAGCAGTCTCCAATGGGTAACCACTGTTATTCTGTTTCAGTCAAATCATATAACGTTGAGTTACACTTCTTTGAATAGACCTTATGAATTAGAAATAAGTGAAGGAAGACAATAAGATGAACGCATATAGACTCAAAGTCAAAAACCAATCACTCAACTAGCCTTTGTATCGAAGCTAAACCCATACTCAAGACCTTAGCTCAGTTCCAAACTCTCAAAACATTTATGTTTCAGTTTGAATTTGATTCATACTAAGTGTAACTGAGCAAACAAGAATCAGTGGTACCGATTTTAAACAAAGCTCTCTGCGCATTTGTTCCAGGATTAAGACCTAAAACAGGATAGAGCCATTCTGCAAGGGAGTTAGTGTTTTCATTTTTCAGCGCTCCATTGTCGGAGAACTGGAACCCATTATATCTTGCTTTAAAAGTATCCTTGCATTATATCAAGGTTTATAAACTACTTTGACTGCATTTTTTAGCGAAAGTGTTGTATTTTCCGTTCATAGGGAGGGCAAGCCATATATCGTTCCAGCCTACTGGGAAACCAAGACGAGCGCATCTGAATTTTTTTTGGATCCTAGTCCCTTAGAGATGTGCTGAAAAATTCGCAAGCCTGTCATAGTTTGATCAAAAAGTGACATGTGTGGGCTCCTGCTCCAGCGTAGCATAGGAAAAAGTCGTTAAAAAATCGATGCACCACGTTTTTGAAACTGAAGGATAAAGCTGCTACCAAAAACTAGACGATTCCATGACAATCAGTATGACTCAAAGATAGAGTTAGTTTAGTAATAAACAAATAAATAGTCGCTGTTTCAACATTTCAAAACTCTGTCTTGTGATGCACTGTACCAGACCCGCAGCGTATGACGTTGTTCAGCATAAAAGCTACATTTTACGGTTTCGTGAGTACCTGGAATATTGAGTAGTGTGATAGCATTCTATAACGAAATGCAGAAAAGAATAAACGCGAAGATTCAATTTTCTTGCTGTATAATTAAACTGCAGTTTTTCTTATAACTCTAGAACAGCTGAAGTATTTCGTGAAGCTAACTTCGCTCTAACTTTCATGAATCGGATAAAAGCTTCTATTTAAAATTTTCTGATGTCAGTAATACAGACGTATTCATCAAATCATAAAGCTGAAATTTCACTCAATATCTATGCTTCTCATATGATAATCTTTAGTTCTAACGATATTGGCTTGAATTTTTATAATTAGCAAAGTATTCATGCATTTTCTCAACCGATGACATAATTTTTTATTGCCTTAACATGAGCAGTTTTCATTATTCTCTTAATATAGCTCGTCGGAGACCAGCTGCTAGGATCTGTGAAAGAGCGACATGGACTCGAAATGCTACCACGGTTGCTGGAGGTCATCGATTTGGAGTTACACTGAACCAATTGGCTTGTCCGCTTGCAATTTCGGTGGATGCAAATCAGAATGTTTACGTAGCGGATCCAAATAATGATCGTATAGTCAAATGGGATCATGATGCAGTACGTAGTCAGGTTGTCGCTGGTGGACATGGAACTGGAAATAATAATGACCAATTATATTTTCCGAGAGATATAGCCATTGACAACGAGGGGGTGATATACATCTATGACCATGGAAATCAGCGTATTCAGCGTTGGCGTAGAGGTGCTTCAACAGGGAATACCTTTCTAGAACATAAGTCTATCAATTGTATAGCAGTAGATGACGAAGGGTCGCTTTATGTTTTGATGTCAGGTGAAGTGAGAAAATGGCGCATCGGTGAGAAGACCAGAGAAGTAATTGGTTCTGGTCTTAATTTGGCACGGTATATGACTGTTGATCGGAACGGATCAGTCTACGTATCTGAGGAGTATTGTCACCGAGTGATTAAATTAGATCCGAAAACAAAACAAATCTCTGTTGTGGCTGGCGGTTCTCAAGGGAACGGCGCTGACCAATTCAACAATACATGGGGTGTTGCTGTCGATCAGTCGGGCTCTATCTATGTATCGGATTATTTTAATCATCGAGTGATGCGGTGGCTACGAGGGGCTACATTCGGTGAGGTCATTGCTGGAGGCCGTGGTCAAGGTTCCCAACCTGATCAGTTATATCATCCGGCTGACTTATCATTTGATCTTGATGGAAATCTCTATGTAGTGGATAGCTATAACAATCGTGTACAAAAATTTCTCATAGACACACGTTCATGTGACACATGTAAGTGAGCTCTAATTTGTCTACCTAACTTATCTCTGTCTATCTAGGAAACGCAAAGACAAGTGCCTAATCATATTCATATACATGCATCAACAGCGGCCAACTGTAAAACAGCATGACACATGTTTACTATCTCTTGTTTTAACAGCTTATTATTAAAAGTACACTTATGAGTATAGTTAGAGAATAATTATAGCTTCTTAACCTAGTCCAAAACAGAGCAGCTTTTCATCCGAAAGAGGTTATAATGAAGATGTTTGACAAATGATGAATGACTAGAATTATAAAGATAGGGTGGGGTGTGGGTGTAGATCTTCTCTTCATCCACGCCACTACACCCACACCCACACCCTGAAATTCATCTAATAATTCGAAACTATTGATCACTCATTTTCAAAATACTTTTCAGAAAATAAATATAATGGCCCTGTGTTTTCGGTAATATTCAGAAGCCAAAGTACGAAGGGTAAAATTTTTCATAGAGTCAGTATATCAGTGTTCCATGGGACACTGATGTCAGTGTACACCGTATCACTGACCTCATCAGTGCTTCAATGAACATCGGTGTCAGTGATCACTGAAACTGAGATGTCACTGGCACCGATGTCATCAGTGTTCACTGAGCATCACTGTCGGTGACGTCAGTAATCAGTAAACTGAAACTGTACATCCCTACGCTGGTTACGTTCCTTTATACACCACCATTAGCATAGATTCAGGAAACTTGTGATGTTTCTGAAGTTTTATTTCAAATTGAACAATAAGGTGATTAAAATCTATTTAAAAACAAACAAACAATGAGCTTAGAAAAACATCACATTTGTGCACAGTTCAAAGGGTTTCATTCTCTCCTCTCTCTTAGAATACATATCGTTTATCGGCTCGAGCAATTAAAAATCATCAGTTTTTTCAGTTAGTTATCTTTGCTATATTTTGACAATAGAGCAAAATCATACGAACTTCTGGACATTTTTTACACAACTTCATATAATCTTCCACCTTCAAATAATGCCCAGACCTATGAACTTCCAGTAGTTTTGGATAATATTGTTTTTCAACTGAAAATATTGCAACTATTCGTACCAACGCGATATTAGCATTAACTATATGGAAATGTAAAGCAAACCATTCGTTTTCATTTTTAGAAAAATCATATGTAGGCTTTTTAAAGAGCGCCATTGTTTTTGATGGTGTACATAAACTGAAGCTGCTATTATCGACCATACCACTTTCTGACGTCATACGTCATGGTGCACCTTAATATAATGATATACATAAGAAAGAATCAATAAATTATGACATAGGATAGAATGAGCAAAATGAAATGATCTACCCGTGTAAATTAAATGCATCTGAAGAAACATGTTTCTTTTTCAAAATAAATGAGTAAGCGTGGATCGGTTAAAGGTTAGCTCGAAAACATAATGAAACAGAACAGCAAATATGGTTGAAAATAAATGAACTCATTCATCTTTGAGCACGCCTGACATATACTGCATCTCACTTCCGTCGCTATGATGAGACAGAAATCTCTTTCAAACCCCATCTTACAAGTTTGACCTCAATCGGCTAAAAGGTCGGGGTGGGTGTGGGTGTGAGTGTGGGTGTATGGGTGTGGGTGTGGCGTGGGTGTGGGCGTGGATGTGGGTGTGGGTGGGTGTGGGGTGTGGGTGTGG